TTTTTTTTTGCAGTGGGCATTTGATAGATACATAGATGTTTGATGCCTTTTTTCCTCTTCAATCAAAGTGGTGCTCTGAGAAAGCAAGGATGGGGAGGTTATTATTAAATAAAAAAAGACCCAATGAGTGTTTTGTAAAGAATGAAAATACTGACACTGTAAATGCACTTTAGAGGGTAAATCTAGCTGTTTTATAGGTGAAATTGGCTACATTTTGTTCACAGGTCCATAAATGGACATTTGTTGTCAGGTATTGTAAAGGGTTTCAGTGGGTTATGCTGGTATTTTATTTTAGTATTGAGTTCCCAATGCAAAGTTTAATAACCATTCACGGGTTAACCTGTTCCATTTGTTCACTTCCAGTTTGTTTTTGCAGTCTTACAAAAATTAATTCTTAATTACATATATGAAATGCTTAGCAAACGTTGCACATTCTGTATATGTAATTGATATTTAAATAACTTATTTTTGCTTTTTTTTCATATCAACTGTAATTAGCTGTACTATATGAATAGCAATACCTTCCTGCATAATGCATATTGCTTTAGCCAGTGAGGAACTACAGTATGTATTGTAAAATATGTGTACAAACTATTTTATTTGGTTTTCATCTACCTAATGATTGTCCATACAGATTTGCTTGTGTATTGAAACAATAAAAGTAATGTCCATAGCTATTTGTCATTCTGAAATATAATAAAAAACTGTTTCTTGCCATATGCTGGCCTACTGATTATTGCTGTGCACACACACACACACACACACACACACAAACACACCACAACAAACAGACCACACAACACACACACACACACACACACACAGCAGAAGTGGAAAGACATGGGCATGGCCTACTGGCTTTTTTCATTAATGTGGTTAACTATGACCCTGGACATTGGCCTGTTGATAACTTTCTTAACAACATTTTAAAATTAAAAATTAAAAAGTGTGCATGGGCAGCAAAAGGAATAATAAGCCTAGACTTGAATTGATTAAAACCCTTCTGTTCAAACATGCTATTATTTTATTCTTAGAGCTCATTAATTTTCTAGAGTTTGGTCAAAGGGGAAAAACAGTAGACAATTCTGTGACCTTATTGGGATGTGTAAACTACAATATTTAGGAATAACAGCTCCTGTACCTACTACACTGTCAAAGGTTCAGTTGGCGGTTGGAGCCTGAAACCAAAGAGCTTAAAAACATTGTCTTGTTGCGTCTGGTTTGTAATGCCTCATTTAAAAAAACTATACACATCTGCTCCAGGACCAAGACGGCAGAGTTCAACTGCCTGTCTGGCTCCTGTTGCACTGCAGCTGTTGTCAATGAAACCATGTTTTTCCAGTCTCTTTCATGTCAAGAAACCCCCAATAGGTGCCCAGACGATGGACCCCAATTTGACAAAATTTTGTCCCAAAAGACTGCATCTGAGAAGATTTTACTTGCGCAACTTCTATCTCAGCTGGTGTTTGGCATCCTTCTAAGTGGAAACACACGCCACTGAACAAGCATTTCCTTCAAGAAGAATAAGAACAAAAACCTGTTGTGTTTCTTTATTTGCTAGTTGTTGTGCCTTTTAAAAAAAGCAGCCACTGTACAATAATCCTCCTTCACAAAGCTGTAATGGGCAGTTAGCTTTCAGTTCACGACTCTGTCTTCCTCAGATACAGTTGCTCATCCAATTTAAAACTCTCAGGAGAGCTTATTTCAATAAAGACTTTCTGCCTTGTGCCCCATTATTTTGAACCACTCTCTGCAACATTTATGCATGTCTGTAATAATAATTCAGACCACAACTTGCAATCTGTTGTGAGAATTCCCTCAATTTCTGCTGGTGAATCAGACTTTTTTATTTCATTTTAGTATTCCTACAATTAATCCAACAATAAGTTTTGACCTTTCTGAAATATGACTGGATCATTACATTACAGAGGCTGAATAATTACCAGACACAAATCACATAGTCACATCATAGCGAGAATAGTCATTATGATACCAAAGATTCCTCACCAATAATCTGTAATGAGTGTGATAATTCTCTAGCCACTCGTTTCCCTCCAGGGATCCTGGAAGTCACTTAAGCAGTTCCTCAGAAAGTTTGCGGAGAGTGTGAAGTCTGACTCCTAAAGTTTACTTTAGTGTTGGAAGGCAAATTTAACTATCTGTTATTTGTAGCTCCCAGGGTTATTCCCCCTGCACAGAATACTATTGATTTGGTAAACTCAATTAAGCAGCCTCTTAGACGTAAGAGGCCCCTTAATTGAGTTTACCTTTTTGGCTTCCTTCAAATGTCTCTCAGTCTCAGGCTCTTACTATTATCCAAATATAATTTACTTGGGAAGACACTGTTTACTTTAAACTGTGTGAAATTTTACAAACTCTGAGGAACTCTGAGTTGAATTCCAAGCCCCAGGATATTACCAACTAGTAAATACTACAGACCTGACATTCCCTGAGGAATTGCAGTACTGATTTTAAAACCTGTATGACACATCTGGGCTTATTACATTTTAAAATGTGTCCTGGTTGTCCTGTCTGTGTGGAGTTTTCTTCCTCCAGGTGCTCCAAATCTTCTTCCACAGTCCAAAGAAAAGGTATCATACCACCGGAAATGATTTACAGCAGTGACCTTACTGACGTCCATACTGTAGTTCTGTGTAATAAACTCCTGTGCTGCAGAGGAGATTGGGTTGGCAGGGCTATAAACCTATAATACTTTCACACGTATTGTGCCTAGCTTGCAAAATACAGGACTGTACTATTTACAATTAATTTACCTGAAGGAAAGCCAAGCCAATGGGCCCTCAACAGAATTATTGTTCTCTTCTTTATTACCTTTTGGTCTTTTAAGCCAAATAGTTTTTCACAGCCATTGTTGCTCCCTTGACTACAGGAGCTGTCAGCAGTGAAAGTGCATAGGCCTCTCTGTGTGGTAGTTACTGTGTTGAATGACTGTTGTCAACTTCTAAGTGCAGGTGTAATCTAATGGTGGGTTCTGTACCTGCTGTGGAGAGATATATGGCTCAGTGTAAGGCCCTTACAGCTAGCCTGAGGGGAAAGAGAAAGTTCAAAACACACACACACACACACACACACACTCACACTCATACATTAGACCATCTCACCAGCTTCTTTTTTAACATGCATACATCTCCCCTTATCCTAAAGTTGTGACAAAACAGATCATTCCATTTTATGAAAAATCATTTTATTATTAAACTATTTAGTTAGAATTTTGTCTGCTGGAATTTTGCTGTCATGATCTCTCAAAATCATTAATAAACTACAAAAAAGCGATATTATCATCAAAGTGCCACAACTTTGGTAAAGAATATGAAAACTGTAAATCCACAGCTGACTTAAATCTCTGCAGACATCCTGTCAGTCTCCGCCTGGTCTATCACAAATCAAACTCGTTTTAATAACTGCCCACCGACTACTTGGACGCCCCCCTCTCTCTCCTTGAACACTGGGTGACGCTGTTTTACGCACTGCAATCCAAACCAAATCCTGTATGAGGTGGAAGTTTTTCCTTTCCACGTTCAGTAATCTGACACCCAAAAGACTCAGCAGCAGAAGGATGGACCCTTAACTCGGCTGGAAGGACGGAAGGACGGAACAGTCATCCAACGAGCGCAAACGAGAGGGACCGAGCAGAAGCGAAACGCTGTGCGCAAAAAACAACCCCGTGGCTGCGGCAGTGGAGGAGAGCTTGGGTGCCTGCGCGTCTCCAAAATAACTGGCTGTCCGCCTCAAATGATCCCAAAGCGACAAGTTCCACTTTCCACAGGCGGATGGGTGACTTTCCACGGCGCTTTGTGAGGAGTAGATGATGAAGAATTTTAGCAGCAGTCCCCTTCACAGCAACAACCAGACTCCCAACCACATCAGAGAGCGAAACAACAGAAAGTACGGCTTACTCTCTGCTATACCGTTGCGATTTTCCTTGCGAGGTTATGGTTTCTGCATGGCTACGCTGTTCTTCTTCTGTTTCGGCTCCCTTTTCTACCAGCTGAACGGAGGACCCCCTAAAATCCTGCTGGACATCCGACAGTATCTCGGTAAGAACTTTTCACTTTCCTCTGCTGGCAGAAGCGCGTCATCATCAAAGAGATTCTTTTGAATAAAAGTTGCCCTGCATGCGTAGACGCCATGCTTTGATTAGACGTGCAAAGGACAGTTTATCCAAAATGAATGAGAATTAATGAGGCTTACACCTCTCATTCACCGCTTTTATGAAATCCACCGGAGGCCACAGCGTCCCCTCGACCCCTTTCAAACCAGACGAGTTATCTTGATGTCCTCTGATCATTCATAATCTCGAAATCATCAAAGCGTTCATAAGTGACTTTACTGCAGACTGACACGTTTTATTAAGAGTGTGCATAATGACATGTTATGAAATATTACATACCCCCGAAAGTTCCCCCAAGTTTAAAATTCTAATTATTTAGACCAAAACCTGAGGAATGCGCTCCCCTTCACACCATTTGAATATCAGTTCTGACTTGTCGGAGCGCCATTGGGATCTATTATGGTAACAAGAACTTAGCAACTGTTAAGGCTGATACTGTATGTGGATGGTGACTGACACATCTCCGTGTACAGCCAGCTGGTGCGCTCCGGCCACACGGCGCTCATTACGCACGACTAGCACCGGTGGAACAAGGTGCAATAGTGTTTTCAAGACTGAATTTAGGCTGGTGTTTTGAGACAGCCAAGCGTGGTATGTGTTAGGCTTGATGTTTGTATAATTGATGAAAAGCATGTGGAGCATGTGTTGTTCTAAGATTGATGTTGCCAAATGTTTTCATATCAAAGGGCTAGGTTTCCAATTTAAAATATTATGCTCTGAAGGGAACACAGTTGTTTTAATTTAGATACGACTTGGCACTGCTATATTTCTGTCTATACTGGGTGATAAGAAGAAAGTGGACCTACTAGCCCCCTGTGTGGCTCCATCTGCATGGGTTTCTGTGCAGAGTGTCAGTCTTTAAGATAAGATGTATCATGAGTCAAGAAAGCAAGTTTGTGGTTTAATGCTTATACTCAATAGAGTTGATATCTTATCAACATGTCAGTCACTGCCACAACTGCAGCTGGTGTGTGTGTGTGTGTGTTGAAAGGAGGTTGTTTTCCTACCTATTTCTTACAGAGGACTTGAGGCCTTTATGACGTGATAAACATCTGGAACAGAATGAGAGTCACTCACCAAGTCAGCCACTAATCCCACAGGTCAGATTGGTTTCCTGTAGACACACAAACTTAACACACATATGTACTCACATTCGCACACACGCATGTCTGCACAGCTGCACAATACTGCAAGAAATCATTCTTATTTGATTTGGTCCAGTGTTGCAAAACATAAACAGACAATTTCTTCATGTAATTTTTTAAAAAGTGTTGTGCAGTACCAAATTAGTTACATAGTTTCATTTGAGCATCATGGAGAGCATGAATACTTTCTCTAAATGCAACTCTACTGCAGACACTTACATACAGTACACACACAGAAGCAAAACTCCCTCTGATGAAACTTTGCTGCCTAATGTCATTTAGGAATTGCGGTAGTCAAGTTCATTTTATTCCAGAGTAATTGCACAAAGCTAATGCGCCACAGTCATCTGTAATGTCTATTACACTCACTTTGTCACTGAGAACCATTTTGCTTCAGAGTGCAGTGCCGTAATGCACACACAAGCTTAAGTTATCAGCTGAATCTCGGACACTTTATCGTACAGGATGAAGCAAATGTGTGTGTACTGTTAACACAAGCACACAAACACAACAGCATACAGACTTACATTTCAAATCCCCTACAGAGACAAATGATTATTATTATTTGCACCAGCTTAATCCACCAGCACTCAAACATATGTGGGCCATGAGGGCAAGGAATCCCTCTGTTAGAAGATGAATTGATGTCTGGGCCCACCTGCATGACGTGATCTTCACTGCAGCTTTGTACAGGGTCCCAGAGGGCCCGAGCCTCGTCAAACACTGACTCTTCTATACTCTATCGACTTCAGGAGGAGGGTTCCTTACATAACAGCGACACAAACACACTGTAGCACCTCCGCTGGGATCTGGATGAGTAATCGTCTTTGCTCATTATGCTGCTGGGGCAAGGAGAAAGAGCTTTGTTCCAGAATCCATTGGCTGACGATAAGTCAAATTTCTGTAATGAAGAAAATTATTTGAGTTTTTTTGAAAGTTTGAGAAAAAAAACCTCTTCACTTCTTGTGGTGGATTCTGAAAAAATCCGAGGTTGGGTGGGAGGAGGAAAGGATAGATATGTGTCAGATTTGGTTGGCTCATTGCCCTCATCCTGAAGAAACCTGCAGTCTTGAGTGCTTAGAGGAGAGAACAGAGAAATCTGGTAAAAAGGAGGGAAGGTGGAAACCTTGCTGTGCAGAATATCCCTGTGATATGGTGGCAAAATGGCCTGTGCTGGTGCTTTGAAAGAAAGTTTGGAGGAAAGTTATTTTTCTCAAAGAAAGAATGTTCCACAGCTTCTCTCTTCGTCACCTTCCCCTTTGTCAATTACAGACACTCTGCTTTCACTCTCCCTCTCTGTATGTCTCAATCTTTAGTCTACTTTTTTCTGTCTTGGTGTCATAGGTCAATGAGTGCAACAGTTTGCTGGGTGAGTCAGGGATTGAACTCTAACAAACTGTATGGAGGAAACTCCTTACCCCACCAACTGGAATTAATGAGAAAATAAAGACGATATTCAGCATTAATAATACTCCAATGTATGTATACTGTATGTGTGTGATTGGCAGACTACCAGTCTCTTATAAGCATCAAGTGATTAGCTCTGCTATATTTGCCTTAAGCTGACCTGTGTTACTTTTGGCTGCACTGTGCCAAGATGAAGGTGAGGGTTCCTGGTGGGTAAGGGAATGTGGGTGTGTATGGGAAACAGAATAGTAGGTTGATTTTGTGCAGGAGTGTGTGTTAGGTGTGTGTGTTTCTCTCAGTCAGACGCACTGTAGAGTGAACAGACCCTGTTTTGTTTTGGGCCAGCAGGGAGGTCAGTGTTTGAGGGTGTCACTCAACATATAGCTGCACTGTAAGTGAAACGTGCAGACCTTTAGACCGGGGTCGACAGCCCGCTTGCCACCGTCATCGACTCCCTCTCACTCAGTCGCACTTTCTCTCTCACACAAATACGCACTGATGTTACCTCAACCAATCTGGCTACTTTGCCAAAAAGCTTCCATTTGAGTGATGTGTCTGTGTTGTAAAGGTGTGTGTGTGTGAATGCACAATCACACCTGACTGTGTTGCAGTGATTCCCCCAGACGTTTGACTTGGCTGAGCTGGAAGGTCTCTGACTGAAACATGATTAAATTCATTTCTTTTTTAGAAAGGTGGACAGCTCGTTTCACAGCTGTAGGCCACCCTGACAGGTCAGGGAAGCATCAGCATGGAGCTAAAATTGTGCTGAATGACCGAATTAACTCAGTTTTAGAATCTTTTCATAGCAGCAGCTGTCTCCATTTCTGGTTAAAATGCAAGAGAAATATGAACGAAAATATGAAAGGATTTAGCAAAGACTAGACCAGTGTGTGTGTCTCTCTCTCTTCACACACACACCACACATATATCTCTGCAGTGACATTTCAGATAGTACTTTACTCGTATTGTCATGATCTCAGGGAATTAGAATTATGAGTTTTGCTGCTCATTGATATTGCATGCCATCCTCTTGGAGCTCCTCAGAGCCGAAAGAGCAAAACACAGAGAAGGATCTAGAATTTTCCTCTCTTCTCTTAAATCTTCCAGTCATTGAGATAAATCCTTTAGGATTAGCCAGCGTACACGGTGCACTGAATCCTCAGACATGTGCCCTTAAGGACTCCAAGTACACACGTCTTCCTCTGTGTTTGTGTGTTGTTACAGTTCCCCATCCCCTAACATAAATCATAAACGCTGAACGAACTCGGTCCAACTGTCAGTCTCTCACTTAACATCGTTCTGCTTCTCAGAAGAACTCTGTAACCTTAAAACACTCACACTCATAAATTTAACTTTCCAGAAACTGGCCGGTAAAGTGTTCGAGTTGTACACTGCAGGGCGGTGTTAGGGATTTGACAGGTATGCGTGGACACAGAAGAAGCTACAAGGTAATTTCTCCCCTCCCTCCAGTTTCTGCCTTATTTACAGCAATGCTGGCCAGGAAGTGGGTAAAAGCAAACTATTGAGAGAATTTAAAGAAAGTTTAGTTTGGTGCAGAGAGGGAAAGCAAAAGGTTCCCTGCTGTGAAGAGGCCAATAAGAGACATGCAAACCTCCAGCTGCAGCTGGATGCAAATACTCATTGGTGTTGTGAGAGTGATACTGACATAATATTTCATATCCATGTTACATTTGCAGCCATTGTCCACAGTCTTGATTTTAAACGCCTTGAAGATCATGCAACATCACAATGGTAACCACGAGGAGAGAATGGTACTTATTCACTTGCCCGTATTTGCTCAGCCTTTTGAAACCTTTATGCTACAAATCTGTTCCACTAACATTGAGTCTGACCTGCTGCCCTCATTTTCTTAAATGTGATAAAAACACAAGCATATTTAGTCACATACGTATTCTATACCTGTGCGCACGCAGACACACATACTGTAGCGAGGAAAATGACACACAAACTACACATAAGCAAAAGAGCTTTGTTGAGCGAGCCAGACATGTAAGTGTGATTTTTGGAGCAAACTCGCCACTCCATTCACACCAGTACGCCCACTTCCTGCTAAAGGATATTAAAAACAATCTCTTTGTTTCATCTACTTATATTTTGTTCTTCAAAATGACAAATTTAGTGCACTGACTCTTAATTGGACCAGAGTGACAGAGTACATGCTTTAAGGCAGTTTAAATAAAATTTAAATTAGACCAGTGCCAGTGAAGCTGTCACTCAGCATTTTAAAATAATTAACAGGGTTGCCAGGTGTGTACCAATCTGACTCAGGGATGAAGTTGGTCATACTTAAACTGCCTATTTATTCCTTTAGTCATTTTCACATTTGTATTTAATAATAACGGTTGCTGCTCCA